TCAGTTGTCATATCAACTTTGCACTATCCTTGGGATCTCTGAGTTGAATATCAAATGTAGCCTGTACATATTTTGTGGTCGCACATTTTTATAAGGCTGTGTTCGGAAATTTTCAGGGCGTGCTTCTGCTCGGCAACTTTGCACAAAAATGTGCAGTGATAAAAAATTATTTCTTAAAATTAGGTATGGTTTTATCTTCATGTTTACGATGCAAAATCAAATACGTGCGTGTATTCCCTAATAAAAACAACGAACTCAGTTTAATAAAGTCATTAGAGTTCGGGATAACCGTGTAAATTTTGGTCAAAGGAAGCAAAATTAGTTCGAGATAGCAGGGAGATCAAGTTAACCGAGTTCGAGATAATTGAAATAGTATGGCCAAATCCATGGGAAATGGATTTAAATTTGAGACAGCGGAGAGTTTTAGATAAAGGCGAGTTCGGCATGGAAGTTATGATTGTTATATTGCTTATTTTTCATTTATAATTAGTTATTATATTATTTGTTCAACCTTTGAATTTGTATAAATTGCTAAAATCCGACTTCAGAATGACATCTTATGATGCACTTGTATTTCTGTAATTTTAAACATTCTGTTTCTGTATCACTTTTATGCGTTTCAGGATCACTTGGGAAAATGCCAGAAGGTTACTGTTTCATGTCCAGATTGTAACAAGAAGATGGTGCGAGAAAAGGTAATTCACTCTAGGCCTAATCTGGGACAAAAAATTGTTCCAAGTCGCCTAAAGTAGCGCTAAGTCGCATAACCTCTTCAATGTATTGGCTATGTTTCCTGGGCATATTAACTCATGAAACTCAAAGAATTCCCCTTTTATAGTAAAATATAATACTTAATCACAGAAAAGTAAATGATTGTGCTTTTAGTGCAAACTAAAAAATGCAGAAACTAATATTCTCCGCGATTTGCTCAGAGATAATGTTTTGTTTTCTTTATTTTTTATTTGCGTAATTGTTTGAAATGTATTCGTTTCTTTTAAAATGCTCGTTGACACCGTCCGTTAGATTGCAATGTGACTTTCGTAAATGAATCTATTTCCATAAAAATCCGAGAGTTTTTCGCAAACTCGATCGCCAAAGCGTATTTTAAAATAAACACGAAAAGCTTGTTAATACGTTAATTGAAAAACACTTCAAAATGTTTTAGGAAATGTCTATAGGATTGAAAACTGAAGTTTATAGAATGTCTAAGAACAAATCTATACATTATACATTTCGGGGATTGAAAATCTATTTTGAAAACAACTTTAAACAAGTATAATTTTTCGATTGCGTTCCTCATTTTGTGGAAAAAAATAAAAATGGTTACCATGTTTACCACCAACTTTCCACAGCGAATACAATGCATCCTTAAGTGAAGTATGAAATGATTGCATGAAACTAATAGTTGTTCGGTTTGAAATGCAAGGGATTGTTGCATGCATGTATTTCTAGTTTCTATACATTGTTTAAAGTGTAATGTTCCGCAGAACTCGAAAATAATCCCCAAACGATTAATGAAAGGAATTTAGTTTAATATGAACAAAAAATATATAAAATTACACGTACAATACACAAAAACCTCGAAAACTTTTCGCTATCAAAAAACCAACAACACATGTTCTACCGTTATATTCCGATTCCGTCCGAACAGTTCCGAACTGTTCCGCGAGACGATGTCTCGCGCAATGTCCCCTGAACGTTCCCCTTCCCCACAATGAGAAAGGAAGTGTGTCAAAAATTAGCAACTATAACAATGTCAACAAATAATCAACTATGTGCCTCATGCATGGCTAGCGCTATTTCTCTAATCATCTACATTGTCTTATAGGATTGGTCTTATAGGATTGGTCTTAGGGGCCATTCACAAAGGATGTCCGGCCAAAGCATGGATTTTCAGAACCCCCTTCCCCCCTTGTCCGGCATTGTCCGAATTAGTGACCCCCTCCCCCCGGACATCCGCCATGCCTCGCAAAAAACTCACGCAACCTTGTATATGTCCTTGTATATATACTTTTTTTACTTTTAGAACTTTTTTATAACTATAAATGTGAATATAAAAACATATAAATTATTAATTAAAACAAACAACTGTGTTACTGCAACAACGGGATGAACTTATTGTATAGAAAAGGAGAGTTATACATGCAGAAAGCTTTTATTTGACGCCACTGTTGAATTCATCATTGAACGAAAGAATTAGATAATATTATGAAGTGTTCAAAATGCCAATTTCACAATTCGAAGGAGAGTTCAAAATAGGGGGAAAAGAAATTTGTTTTTGAAATTTTTGAAATTTCGGACATCCGGATTGCTCTCTCTTTGTGTCTAGTTGTCTGATTTTCCCCCCCCCCCCTCGGCTCGGACATCCTTTGTGAATGGCCCCTAATACGAGAGTTCTTTCTCCACACTGTACTTTCGCAACACGAGTGTATCCATCTCGACCTGGATACGTTTCTACTATTCTCCCCCCAATGGCCACTTTCCTCTAGGTAGATCTTTCTCTAACGCTAGGAAGACATCACCGTTCTTTAAATCTTTTACTGTCTCTTTCCACTTAGATCTAGTGCTCAACGTGGGCAAGTATTCTCTTAACTACCTTGACAAAAACTCTTGATATCAACGCCTGCACCTTTCGCCACCGCTTTCGAGGGTTGACCGATTGAACATCGACGTTCTCTGGGGCAAACTGTCCCCCAACCTGCCCATGCAGAAAATGGTTCGGTGTCAATGGCACATCGTCTTGTGGGTCTGCCGTTCGGTAGGTTATAGGTCTCGAATTGATCAAACTCTCCGCACCAGCACAAGCCGTGATTAGTTCCTCGTCCGTTATATCACTATTTCCCAGTACAGAATATAATGCCTTCTTAGCCGCCTTTACCATAACTTCGAAGACGAAATGTGGCGCACCAGGAAGATTGAAAACCCATTTGATGTTCCTGTGCGACGTGGCCCTTTGAATCTTGTCCTTGTCGAGTTGTTCCACTAGCTCTTTCAGTTCGTTAACAGCCACAACAAAGTTCGTTCCGTTATCGCTCGTTATCTTTGTTGGTGTTTCCCGTCTGTTCGTGAATCTCGCTAATGCGAGAGAAAGCAACTTCCTGGTGTATAGCTTTCGTAGCCATGCACGTAAAGACACACAACCAACGCTTTTGTCGTTTCTTTCCTCTCCCCTGGATGGTTTTAATCGGCCCAGTGTAGTCCACCGCTGCTTGATCGAATGCACGGTAAGTCATACGAGTTCGACTTGAAAGTAGAGGTCCCATGATTTGCGACGCAGTCTTGTTCTTACGTTTCTTGCACTCGTTGCACTACTTTTCCCAATATCTGATCTCTTCACGCGCAGCAACAGTCCAATACCGCTGACTAATCTGGGATAGAACAAAATTGGTACCAGCAATATGATTTGACATTGTGCTTTCGTCAATGCATCATACTCCTCAGTAAATGCTTCTCTCTGTGTTTTACGGATAATGTCTTCTTCGGAGTCTCTGATCTCTTCCGGGAGCAGTTCTTTGCTGTTCTGCATTTCGTCCGGATTTCGAAGGTTATGCACCACTCTCCTAACTCTTGCTTGCAGACGAACAAGGCGTACCTAGTTCGGGAAACGTTTAGGATCAAGCTTCCATTCCGCAGTTGTTGACGGGTCGTTCTCTGTTGCCTTTTGCTGTGGGAGTTTGTCATGGCAAGACAAAAAAGTCGAATTTCCTGTATCTTCCTTTACTTGTTTAACCGCTTTTACCTCCTGTAACTGACTTGGACGACACCCGATATCCATCTTTGGCCAGTTAGCCTGTTCCTCTAGTAACCATACAGGACCATTCCACCAAAGCAAACAATCTTCGAGCTCGAATGGCGTTGCACCTCGCGTGCAAAGGTCTGCCGGGTTCTGGTCAGTGGGCACATACTGCCACTGACATGGTTCGGTTGCCATCTGTATTTCGCCTACGCGATTTGCAACAAATGATCGAGAATCACGTCCACGACCTCGGATCCACCATAATACATCTTTGCTGTCCGAGAAGAACATGACCGATTGCATTGGTATCTCAAGAACACGACTGATGTTCTGCGTTAAACGAAGGCCTAGTATTGCCCCCATCAGTTCCAATCTTGGCACCGTCATAGGTTTCAGTGGCGCAACTTTACTTTTGGAAGCGATCATGCGACTGCTTGTAGTTTGATCTTCATATTCACACAGCAAATAGACTACTGCTCCATATGCCTGGATGGATGCATCTACAAAGGTGATAATCTTCTTTGTCAGAACTTTCTTCGATTGTCGCAAACATCTCGGAACACGAAGACTTGCTAGACTTCCTAACTGTTGAAACCAACGCAGAATTTTGTCACCAATCTCATCCAGAATGACGTCATCTCAATCGTAACCTCTCGTCCACAATTCTTGGAGAAGAATCTTTGCGACGACAACGAATTGGACTCACGAAACCAAGGGGATCGAAAATGACAGCGATTTTTTTCAATACATTTCGTTTAGTCATCAGTATGTCTGGGGAGCATCAGCAGCCGAAACCGATAACACATCTTCCTTGCTCTCCCATGAAAGTCCTAGTGTTTTAACAACTTGGTCTTTACTGTCATTCAAGCTTAATTGAGTTGCACGGTCTTCTTCTGGGGTTGCAGAAACTACTTTTGGAGAGTTTGAGATCCATTTTCGCGCTTGCATGCTGGCCAAGTTCCACAATACTTCTAGTTTCCGATATAATTCGATTCCTTCCTCTGATTCAACACTATCAATCGAATCGTCCATATATGTTGATTTTAACACTGTATCAGCTGCCATTGGATATGTACTTTGGTTTCTTCTGGCGTTTTCTTGTGCGACATTCCTGCATCTCTGGTGCTGCATTCTTTCCAAAAACAACACGATTGAATTCGAACACCTCAGGCTCACGATCTCCGTCTCTCCATAAGATTCTAAACATGGCACGATCGTTCTCTTTTATTTTCACTTGTAAGTACATTTCTTTTATATCACATACAAACGCGACTGGATTTCGACGGAAACGAATCAACACGTCAAACAGCTCCTGCTGTAATTTTGGTCCCGCATATATGACGTCATTTAGGGAAATCCCATCCGTCTTTGCTGAACAATCGAACACAATTCTGACTTTGGTCGACGTTTTATCCATGCGTACCACCGGAAAATGTGGCAGGTACCATACCTCTGGTGATGGTGACTCTTCTTCAGTAACTCGTTTCATATATTGGTATTATATCATATATTCGCCTTGTATGAATTTATCCTTTTCTAGCTTTCGCTTGGTGTTGCACAAACGAGACATTGCATTTTTACGATTATCAGGTAACTTTGGACGATTAGCTTTCCATGGTACTCCAACTGTACACCGGTGAGTGTTGGCATTATAGCTTAATGATTCCTTAACTTGTGTCAACGCTGCGTTCTCTTCCTCTGTATAAATTCTAGGCTGATCAACTTCAGTGCCGCAAGTTTCTATTTCCCAGAATCGTTTTATACTCTGATCGACGTCACAACAAACATCTCCACTGTCACTCTTCAATAAATCCCGCGAAAAGCAACTTCCTTATTTAAAAACGTTTCATTTGAAGCATCATCCAATATTGCATTAACTTTAATCTTACGCTTGTTCACCTTTAACCACACGGGTATTGTTCGCAATGAAAATGCTTCGCTCTTTTGTTCTTTATTTACGGATGTGTGGACAGCCCCCTCCCGTGTATCCATACCGGTCTGACTGTCCGACTGTTTCACTAGTGACGTGTCATGCAAGAGGTTATGATGATTCCTCTTACAACCATCGATGTTACACACCTTCGATCTTGGGCACAGTCTCCCTTGGTGGTCATTTCCCAAGCACCTAAAACAAAGGTGCTTTTCCTTCGCAACATTCCATCGTGCTTCTGTATTCAATCCCTGAAACTTTTTACACGACCACACCCCATGGTTTCCTGCACACGATGCACAAGGTGGCTTATCACCCACCCTGCTGCCAGTACCACCACTAAAATATGATTGACCATAGCCCCTTTCACCAAGCCTACCTCTGCCCCCACTGCCCTCGGCCCTTTTGCCATCATCCTTATCCACAACCCCATGTACCATTTCAACCGCTTCCACCCTAATTCGCACCTCTTCCTTCAACCAATCCCTATGATTCAATACTGACCGCTCACGCTCTTTTTCTCCCGACCACCGACTGTAACTTTCCACTTGCCTATCTGTTAACTTTATAACTAACAAGCTATGTAAAGTGCCCTCCCCTAGTTCTGCATCACAATCGTCTGTCTCCAATTAACAACCGAAGCACGAACAAGATCTGAAAACCTCTCGAAATCTTTTATGTCACTATTTCGTAAAGGAGCCATAGCTTCGAGCTGGTCCATATAGGCCTGCAAGCTGCCTTCGTTGACCACCATATTTTGATTTTAAAATTTCCTTCGCTTCTTCGTATTCTGGTTTTGAAACACCAAGCCCCTGAATAGCCTGTAATGCATCCCCTGTAATGCATCCCCCATTTTTATCAACTAGACTTATAAACAATGCCCAGAAAACAAAGTTCGTCAATAATCCTCAACGTTACCTCTAAAGGCCTGTTTACACTTGCAATTTTCACTGCGATTTCTACGACGATTTTTTGAAATCTCCCATGTAAATACCCTGCGATTTTGACTGCAACTTTGGGGCGACAACACTGCAATTTGCAGCGATTTTTCCATTTTACTGGCTTGTAAACGGAGCTAAATTTTCAATACTTAAGTTTACAAGCAATTCAAAGATTTTGTTCTAATTGGGTTGTTTACGGCAGTTTTCTTACAAGTGATTGGCTGTAAAAAAAAATTCCCGACTATTCGTCGCCTATTTAAATTTATTTTATAAAAATACAGCGTATAATGAGTTATGTCATGCAAAATGAGTCTGAAACTAAAAACTAAACCTTTAGAGTGAATAAAGCATGATTATAAGAACTGTGTTTAACGAATAGAAACACCAGTTTTTGTCCTAAAGTTACAAAGACAACTGGCAAAGTGAACGCGGTAAATGTTTGTAGTATTGCAGTACTTCGTTGTAATTCGTTTTTATCTTGGTTTTTATGTTGTTATTGCGCTATTTTCTCTTGATACCATATCGAAAACTGCAGGTAATTTCCCTATTCACATATGTTATTGATAGTTAAGTACTAGATAAAACATGAGCAGCCGATCTGTATCTGATATACAAACTCGAGCCGAAGGCGAGAGTTTGTATATCAGATACAGATCGGATCAAGGGAGCACGCCAGAAATATTTGTATAAATTTATACTAACCTTTTAATTACATGTAAATGTTTTCAATTTTCATCGGGCGCCATTTTGAATGTTGAAAGCGGTATATATTATTAGCTTATCGCAGGCGCAATAATTTATGTTCATCTTTGACATTAATTTATGTTACACGATGATACTCCGAAGGGCGACCGAGAAAGATCCGAAATTTAAAATAAGGCGGAGAAATAATAAAAAATAAAGAGGGGAGTGAAACGGCCGAACACGTGATGGGGTATTGGCCAATGACAATGCGTATATCCAATTTCGTTATCTGGCCATGCTCGTTGACCAAGAACTGTCGAATCTGAAATATATCAAAACTTGTATTGATTTGCATCGTTGCTCGCCAGCAGTGAATTTTCGACAGCAGAGAAACAAAAACATTTGCGAATGCTGGACACAAAATACAGTATTAATAATTCATGAAGGAAATTCAAAAGAAATGAATGTTTAATCAATGTATGTAAATCGTCGGATAATAGATTTGTAAATTGTCCTCATTTACATAAACTTCAGCTTCGATTTTCTCGGCTTAGACAATGTTTATTTTTAAAATTACTTCGCCAATGAACTCATATGATGGGTCGTCTTTTAAGCACGTTAAAACACGAGCAGCCGATGTTTATCTGATATACAAACTCTCGCCATTGTCCCCAATTTTAATAATATATTCTAATGTGACTCGCTTGAACTAATTATAGTAGATCAAATATAAATCAACGGTAAATCCGAAAATAATAAAAAAAAATTATTTTCTACAGTATATTATATTATATTTGTTGTTCTACAGTATATTATATTAAAATACTCAGTGGTTCCCGTAATAGTAGGTCTCATTTTGTTTCCGGTTTGTTCCTAGCAACATCAAATGTTCCTAGTAACAGTCAACCAGCATCAGTGGATAATAGTTCGGCCGTTTCACTCCCCTCTTTATTTTTTATTATTTCTCCGCCTTATTTTAAATTTCGGATCTTTCTCGGTCGCCCTTCGGAGTATCATCGTGTAACATAAATTAATGTCAAAGATGAACATAAATTATTGCGCCTGCGATAAGCTAATAATATATACCGCTTTCAACATTCAAAATGGCGCCCGATGAAAATTGAAAACATTTACATGTAATTAAAAGGTTAGTATAAATTTACACAAATATTTCTGGCGTGCTCCCTTATATTTCTGGCGTGCTCCCTTGATCGGATGCGACTTAAAAAGACTTAAAAAATTTGTATATCAGATACAGATCGGATGCGACTTAAAAAATTACCCATCTTATGAGTTCATTGGCGAAGTCATTTTAAAAATAAACATTGTCTAAGCCGAGAAAATCAAAGCTGAAGTTTATGTAAATCAGGAGAAATCTTTATCCGATTTACAAACATTGATTAAACATTCATTTCTTTTGTTTTCTCCTCGTGAATTATTAATGCCTTTTTTAACTGCATTTATGACATTTATAGTAGATTTACCTGAAGAATTATAAATTTTTATAAGTTTATGTTGCTTGGCTTTGATAAAGCCTTTATTGAAGGTGAAAATGCCTGCCGTTGAGGGCAGCACAGTCGTATTTTGTTCACATCTTTTTATAAAATCGCAGCGAGTTGCGATAAATTTCGATCACGATCGAAATATTTGCAACTTGTCGCAGTGAAGTTGCACTGGACTTGCAGTTAAATCACAGGGTGTTTACATTGGCGATTTCATGTCGCCATCACGTCAGCAGAAAAAATCGCCGTAGAAATCGCAGCAAAAATTGCAAGTGTAAATTGGCCTTAAAAGTTCCCAAAGTACCTCGATATTCTTCTCGATTTCTCCAACGTTCTCCTCGCTCTGTACAGCACACAATTTTTCCAAGACGTGTCGCACCTTTGTAGTCGCTGTTTTCTTCGCTCTTTTACCTTTTTTAACTCCAATATCTTCGTTTCGATTTCCTTTCGATCTTTTCACGCATCTTTCGAATTGATTCCTTCGGCGGCTTCGCTTAAGCCGATATTTTCACCGTCACTATCGCCCATATTAAACTCCTTGCACGATAAACTCCGATAAAATAGCCATGTCCGGCGGATCGCCAAAAAATGTTCCGTAGAACTCGTAAATAATCCCTAAACGATTAATGAACGGAATTTAGTTTAATATGAACAAAAAATCAGGGCCTATTTTAGTGTGCAGCATTGCACACTTTGTGCAGTATTGAATAAAAAGTGTGCAGTATTAAATGCGAAAGTGTGCAGATTGAAATTTGAAGTTTGAAATAAATTTCAACTTTGTATTAGATGTGCTGAAGGAACGAAGTAGGTGAAATATAAAGTCGAGAATTCCAAAATGCCTTTGCAACAAAATGAGCAAAGGCACAAACAAATATTGGCCAAATATATGCCAGTAATAATTCCAATATTCAATATTTTCATGTCCGGAAAAGCCGGTGTACTTCTTTCCTCCTCAAGAGGGAAGAGCCTGGGAACGAGGTTGTCATTTGTGTCGCATCAGCGAATTACTACAATAGGTTATGGCTTATTTGAACTTGAAAGGGTTTACTTTTTTGGGGACACCCTGTACAGTATATTGTCATTATGTTCTATTAAAAACATAACAATTCAAAGATGACGTCACATGGTGACGTCATTGATGACATCTGCTCTAAAGTGTGCAGTATTGACATTTCCTTAGAATACGCCCTGCAAAAAATATATAAAATTACACTAGCCTAGGACCTGTATAGATGTTTGTATGCGTTTCATTTAGCACAGGTAATCTCAGCTGTTTTAGGGTAAAATAACCATGGCGGTCAACATGGCATATGTGCCAAAACCTGAATCCGGGGCGAAAGTCCTGAAAATGACCCCGCCCTGAAACGGCAGTGCCGACATAGCTCTAACTTCCGAAAAGCAAAAGCAACAGCCTTTCTGAAGTGCTTATAGTGTTTAGAAGGGTTGCTTTTAGGGGTGGTCATTGGAAGGAAAAATTTGTCTAAGTATAATATTTTACCAGAAAATGACTACAATCATGGAAATAATATCCGTAGACTTTTTTAAAACGCATCTTGTCTGACTATTTTGTAAAGCCATTTTATTTTTAGTTAATACAAACGTCCATGATCGCTAGAAATAGTAACTCCCCCCCTCCCCTACCACAATGTTGGTTCAAACCATGGTTATTGGACCTCAAACCAACATTGTAAACGGGGAGGGGGGGAAATTGAGTAATTTTTGAAAAGTCTACGAATTAATTTCCATGATTGTCTATAAAAGTATGGCACTTAGTCATTTTCGACCCAGAACAAAGGTTACTATATTATAAAACCTGATTCTCTTTTTGACTGAAATTACTTTATTTACCTTGTGCAAGGTTGCTGTGTAATTTTTTGGCCGGGGGGAGCTTCAGGGGGGTGTGGGCAAACTGTTTAGCGACGGGATACCTCAAAGTGTTTAATTTTGACCGTTTCAATATCGGTTAAGTAAGTTATGACATCAAGTTTGCCTTCGAGTTCCTTGAAATATATTTGAAGTTTACATATACATCTAACCGTATCAATTTATTTATATAATCGTTGCTGCTACAGCTAAATTATATCCAACATTTAATTTCATTTATGCGGTTGAAGTTTGTGTGGTAATAATAATCTGCATAACAAGACATGCAATTTTTCTATGAATATATCTTATTAGGGAAAGTGTAATACTGTCCTATTTGTTGATGTCAACTGTAACAGCAGTGACGTACAGAGACCATAGCGACCCAAAGCGGGATCGAGGGAGGTGGGGGTGTTCCTTTACATCCTCTTCGCCTTACCAACCAACTCTATTTTACCAACTAATTTCCCAACAGGTCACGGTTTTTCCTACATAATCTCCATTTTGCCGACAAGATTTCTAAGAAGTGGGTGGGGGGGGGGGGTGTCACAATACAACATACCCCGTTCGGTAACCCTTGTGTAACAGAGTAGTGCTTATTTCGTTGTAACAGTAAATCGTTATAATTATCATAGAAGGAAGAGTGTGAGATATGATATAAACAAATTTTAAATAGGGACTGCACATGTTACCACATGTTACTGTACATGTTACTGCACATGTTACTATGTATATATTATATTTTACTATATAATTTGAACAAGTTACTGATGTTTTGTTTATAGTTATTGAAGTATGTATAATTTATATAATGTACAGCAGTAACACATAGCAACATGTTGAAAATTTTAACATGTTACTACATGTTACTGCTGTTTTTTATATAAAGTACATGCTTCCATTTTTATAGAAAACAGCAGTAACATGTAGTAACTTGTTGAAATTATGTAGTAAAATATAGTAAATTGATTGGAACATGTGCAGTAGCATGTACACTAACACGTGGTACCATACGAAGAATTTATTTAAAGAATTATATGGTAAAAATGTAGTACACTTATAGTAACATGAACAGTAACATGTAGTAACATGCAGTAACTTGTCCTATATGTAATATATAGAGGTTAGTGAAATAGTCACTGCAATCAGTTAGGTCTATTACCTCCAACATTTCGGTTGACGGAAAAAAATTGAATCCCCCTCATAAAATATACGACAATGCGTTAGTTATTAACTTTTAATTATTAACTTTCAAATATTATATACATCAGTCATTACGCAGAATTACGTTTTGTAAATACAGGCTAATTGTATGGAGCAGTGGATCATTTATTAAATCTTTCGTTAAAACCTTGGGTATATGCTTGAAAGAGTCTTTATTACCTAACTCGAGCTATTATATTATTTGAAGAGATTTCCCGTTGAAGTAAAAGCAGACTGTGTATGATGTAAGTTTCTTGATTATCTCTCTGTAATACCATGAACTCTGATCAAGTAAACCATAAATATTCAATATAACATGTAGAATCTGCCATGCTTTAGAGCTTTAATGAGGATTTTTACACCGCGTCTCCAAATATTCCCCCGCAATTTTTGTCTTTAAATTTAGACAATCATGGAAATAATATCCGTAGACTTTTTTAAAACGCATCTTGTCTGACTATTTTGTAAAGCCATTTTATTTTTAGTTAATACAAACGTCCATGATCGCTAGAAATAGTAACTCCCCCCCTCCCGTACCACAATGTTGGTTCAAACCATGGTTATTGGATTTCAAACCAACATTGTAAACGGGGAGGGGGGAAATTGAGAAATTTTTGAAAAGTCTACGAATTAATTTCCATGATTGTCTATAAAAGTATGGCACTTAGTCATTTTCGACCCAGAACAAAGGTTACTATATTATAAAACCTGATTCTCTTTTTGACTGAAATTACTTTATTTACCTTGTGCAAGGTTGCTGTGTAATTTTTTTGCCGGGGGGAGCTTCAGGGGGGTGTGGGCGAACTGTTTAGCGACGGGATACCTCAAAGTGTTTAATTTTGACCGTTTCAATATCGGTT